CCTTGAGCTCCTCAGATGCGAGGAATTTGTAATTTGAAGTCTGGCTACCAATGGGTCGTCCTGGATAAGCAAAAACTGACAAACGTCCCGCGGCATCAACATAACCTCCATCATCATTTCTTGGTGTACGATTTATTCTTGTTTCAATGTCATTGTTAAAATACATCGAACAAAAATTTGATGTCTCCTCAATCAAGTAAGCCTCGACTACAGATGCTTCCACTTGAGCTCGATTTGTAACCTTTTTCTTAAGATGATGCAAGAACCTGTGTAGTAGAAATAATGTTAGTAGAATTACAATGTAAAAAATATATATATATATATATATATTTAATATAATAATTTGTTTATAAAATTTAATTTAGTGATTTCGGTATGTTTCTTTTTAAAATAATATTGGTCCAACAATAAATGTAGACGATGTATGCTTAAAATAAATTTTCAAGTATTGCTTTACGAAAATGTCATTTCACTATATAATAAGACATAACAAAAATATAAAATATAAGTTAATGTGTGTATAGTTTAAAGTACAACATGCTATGATATTCAAAGCAAACCAATTAATTACCTCTCAAATGGATACATCCAACGATACTGCACGGGACCTCCTACCTTAGCTTCATATGCAACATGTATGGGTAAATGCCCCTTAGAATCAAAAAACGATGGTGGGAAAATTTTTTCAAACTTGCACAACGTCATAATGATATTTTCTTCTAGACGTGCCATGTCTTCCACTTTCAATGTAGTGGAGCATATATCCCTGAAAAAAGGCTCATTTCTGTTAAAGCTTCCCAAAATGGCTCGGTAGTGCATCCTTAAATGCTATTGGTATCAGTCTTTGCATAAAAATATGACAATCATGACTCTTCATTCCAAACAATTCTGAACCATCCTTTACACACCGTGCTATATTTGATGCATAACCATCAGGCATCTTTATATTCGTATCCACCTAACACCCTCCGTTTTCTGCTCTTTTTTCAAAGTATAAGAGGCGTGTGGCTTAGAATATTTCCCTCCCTCATTTTGGATGATATGAAGCTGCGGCCGCTTACAGTAAATTTCCAAATCCTTCCTCGATTTGATGTTATCTTTTGTCTTATCCTTGATATCCATGACTGTGTTAAACACATTATCATTCTTCTCGATGCATCACATCCTGATTATGTCGTATCAAATTAGTATGCCAATAAGGCAACTCCCAGAAAATGCTTCTTCTAACCCAATTGTGGGTCCATCCAAAACCATCTATTTGGGAGCCTCTCATAGATGAGCCACTAACAACACCTGGAAGGTTATTAACAATATCCCGCATCTTTTTACCAGATAAACTAGGGGTTGCCACATCATTTTTAATTTTACCTCGTAAAAATTTATCACGTTGTCTCCTAAAAGGGTGATCTAACGGGAGAAAACAACAATGACAATCAAAAAATGTTGGCTTCTGGCCGAATTTTAGTCTGAAAGATTTTGTTGAACCCATGCAATATGGACAAGCCAACTGACCATGTGTGCTCCATCTTGACAACATACCGTAAGCCGGAAAATCACTAATAGTCCACATCAATGCTGCTCTCATAGTAAAATTTTCTTTTTTATAAACATCAAACGTTTTAACACCTTCAGACCACAAAATTTTGAGTTCATCAATTAACGGCCTCAAATATACATCAAGATTTTTTCCAGGACTTTTTGGACCGGGAATCACCATACTTAGAAACATGTTATTCTGATTCATACACATCCATGGAGGAAAATTATAGACTGTGAGTATAACATGCCAGCATGAGTATTTTGAGCCACCCATACTGAAAGGGCAAAATCCATCTGTACATAAACCTAAACGAACACCACGTGGATCAAGGCCAAAATGAGGGTATTCTCTATCAAAATGCTTCCAAGCCTCACTGTGTACAGGATGTGACATTTCACCATGAGTAACAGTATTTTTTAAGTACCATAACATATGGACTGCAGTATGTCTAGACATGAAATACCTTTGAAGACGAGGAGTTAGAGGTAAGTACCTAAGCACTTTGTGAGGCACCTTTTTTCCACGTTTTTCTTTAAATCGCGAGTGCTTACAAATCAGACATTCCATCATCTTCTCATATTCAACGTAGTATAAAATACAATCATTGACACACGCATGTATTTTTGTAACCCCGAGGCCAAGACTTCATAGCATTTTCTTAGTTTTATAAAAACTATCCTCAAGGTTGTTATTTTCTGGCAACATACTCTTTATTATGCTTGTAAGACGATCAAAACAAGCACCAGAAATATTAAATTCAGACTTGCAGTTCAACAATTGAGAAGTAGCAGAAAGTTTACTCTGTTTGGTGCACCCAGGCCACAAAGGTTTATCGACCTCTTCTAGTAATGTAAAAAATTCTTTAGCTTTGGGATTTGGGACTTGTTGCTCCACGTCATTATGATATTCATAATATTCATGGTGCATTTCAGGCCCCATTGCATCATCTACCATAGCCTTTGTCGCGTGGTGTTCTGCACTTTTTTCTCGTACTTTCGTTGCAGAATTTGCACGGATAAAAGGTTCCCCATGTGCATCCCAATGATCATAACCACTCACAAATCCGTAGTTGTAAAGATGATACTTAATATCTTCTCGATCACAAAACTCAGTATTGCGACAACGTGCACAAGGACATCGGACCCTTTTTCTATTGGCAGACCGTGAAAATGCAAAATCAAGGAACTCGTTCACCCCTTTTATAAAGCCATCAAGAAAGAAAACCACTACCGTCTCGTTGGTTGAACATCCAACTTCGATCAGAAGACATTCTGCAAAATAGATTTAATAATAAACTTATGGATTAAAAGCATACTAACAAACCTTTAATGTATTGATATATATATATATATCCCAAAGAATTCATATTTAGAATGTACAATGTACAAGCAACAGTATGAACATGATCAAGCAGCAACTTCTAGTGTCAACTGAACCAAAAATATGAAAACATCAGAACAATAATTTAGACACAGTCTATGACTAATTTTGGATGAAATAATTCCTTTTAACCTACAAACTAAGCATGGTATCAAAACAACCAACAACAGAGGCATAAGGATAATCATTTTTAGTGTGGAAACAGTCATGAGTATGGGTGTTCATCGGTCGTTTCGGTCGACCGACCGAACCAAACTACAAAAACCGAATTAAACTGAAATGCTATAAGTAAAAAAACAAACCGACCGAAATGTATACTTAAAACCGAAGTATAATTGAACCGAATTATAAGAAAAAAATACATACATGATTCTCACAAACATACATACATGATTAACATATTCAGTCACCATAAACATCTCACAAATCATGAAAATACATGATCTTCCCTACCTGCAATTAGGAAGAAAAAAAAAAAAAAAAGAAGAAGAAATACTTTGTACCTTGATTTTGAGATGATGGCTGAGAATTTGGGAGAGAGACGAATTATCCTTAACGGTGAACACTCGTGTGCCCGGCCGAAACCTCCAAGCTCAACTCCTTGACAGACGATTCCACAACCGACGACAAGGAGTCGCAGTGGGATTTTTTTACGGAGAAGACGATTTGGGGGATGATTTGTATTGGGGCAATTTAGGGCGGAAGAGCAGCGACGGCGGAAGATTGGGGACGGCGAAGGATTTGGAGACGGAAGACTGATGAGGTGATTTGGGGAAGGAAGATGGATGCCGACGGGCGATTTCAAGTTCTTGTTTGTTGTTTGTGTACGCATGTAAGTTTAGGAAGTAGGATTTTTGAAATATTATATTATAATATATAATATAGTATTAATATTATATTATTAATATTAATATTTAATATATTTATATATATTTATTTATTTATATGTACGTAGGTATAGGTATGTATAGGAAGATTATTGAAATATAATGTTATAATATATAATATAATAATATTAGGATTATTGTCTTTTAATATAATAATATATATTGTATTAGTATATATATATATTATATTAAATAATTAAATATTCTGTCGGTTCAGTTACTCGGATATTTGAATGTCGAAAACCAAAACCGACTGACATAACCAAAAAATTATATGTTGAAAATCGAAATGCGACTGATTCGGATAAAAACTGAACCGAAATTTTTTGTTCGGTCGGTTGTTCGATTTTAGTTGAATTTTGAACACCCCTACTCATTAGTAATCAAATTTAAGCGTAAGCTAAAAATTGAACTACGTCATGGTGTCGATTTTATGTATTTTTCGTATTTCACTGGTGATTTTGAGTGCGGATAGACGGTATATGATAAAACTGATCAAGCCGCTTCGAGTATAAATTTTTTTGTATCCGAAAACCAATTGCGAGTGCAAGCCAGAAAAATTGAGGACACCCAAAATTGAAAATACAAGTCGCTAATTTTCAAACCGAGGTAAGATCAATTCACTACGGCTAATTTTCAGTCCATTTATTATTCAAAAGTAGTGTATAAGACAATCATTTTCGACATTAATCATCATATTTTTTCTTTTAGTTGAAATTTATTTTTCAATAAAATCTTATTATATACATTTAATTTCAACAATTAATTATTATTTTTTATTCGAATTAAACCTAGCTAGCTAAATAAAGTAAATGTGGTTTCGTAATAAAACCAAATTAGATTCCGTTGCAAAAACATGGTTATAAAGTAAATGTGGTTTCGTAAAAAAACCAAATTAGATTCCGTTGCAAAAACTCATAACCATTGCCCCAATTTAAATCCGTTGCAAAATTATGTTACTAATACTGTAATTATGGCACCAATACTAATCCGTTGTAAAATGAGATATGTAATTTCTTCATCCTTTTATTAGACTTAATTAGCTCTTGTCCAAACATTACATGGAATGCTAAAATAGCACAAACAGTCATCCGATGACGATTATTGGTGAACAAAGAAAAAAAAAAAAAACAGGAGAAGATTCTAATGGTCGATTTATTTTATAATCTCCGGACGATTATTGGTAAACGAGCTTAGGGATGCACGGTCCCGGTTTGTAAGTTTGCTGGAAAACAAGGAAAAATGAGCATTTCTTGTTAGTAAAAATGTGTTTAAGAAAATACAAACATCTCTTAATTAGGTGGATTATAGATAGGTGATCAGTTTGAAGAGTAAACTTACCACAAGTAAGTGGAGGAAGGTTGCAGAGGGCGGGAATACGGGCGGCGATTCTGAGTGTGTTGCAGATGCAGTCATGGTCCACTTCTCGAAGGGCCCCACAGCAGGCAGGGCTTGGCGGGCTGGGGTTGGGGCTGAGACCAGGAACAACATAGGGTGCACAAACATTGAAGTTCCCCAGTGACGAGGCGCAAGTGTTTTGAGCCACAGTCTTTGTGACGTGGGCTACGATAAGCAAGAGCATGACCACAGCGAATGATGATGACCACTTCATGCTTGCCATTGTTTCTTACTTGTTATTATTATTATTATTATAATTAGTTTTTTGCTATGGAGAATATTTGTTAATATTGATGGTTTGTGTGATTATTGATGAATGTGTGGTGTTGGGAATATTATGGTTGTATTTATAGTTGAAATTAATATGTTAGAGGGTATGTATGTGCTCACATTTTGCATGACTCACCTATTTTGGTGTGTGTGTGTGT